ATTTTTAGCATTTTTGTTAGAACGTTGGGCAGATCATTTGTCATTTAATAACATACAAACATTATTTTATCTTGGTTAGCCGTGATTTTGTTTAGCCACGCCTCCAAAGTTTGACAACTGTTACGTTAGCCGAGAATTAAATATTTACTGCTATTCAAAGTTATTTTTTAAGTGTTTAGTATTATTCTTTCCGTATAATTTAAAAATGACGTCTTCTCAAGCTTGTAAGTACTTCAGATTGTTATAAATTAAATTACCGTAAAGTTTTTTTAGCGAGTTTTATAAGTGCAGATTTTATAGCATTTTAAACTTTGTCCAAATTTTTAAAAAAATCCCTTAGCATCACATTCAAAATTTTTCAATGTACTATTCATAAACTAATTTACTATTTGCTTTAAAAAAACCTACTTGCTTTGGGTTGTGATTAACGAAGTTATAATTTTTTTAGTGACAGATGTTACAATAAAAAATAAAGGCCTAATAGACGTTTGGTTAAAAACTCCAAAACGTTATCGAAAACAGTCGGTTTATGATAAAATCCTTTCCCTACTTGATATTGAAGAACCGTCCAACAGTTTCAACAATCAAATTATGAACTGTAGCAAGATTTTTGGGTTAAAAATGGCCACTAAATACGACAAAGTATGTCGCTCTCGCAAGCGATTTTTGGAAAAAGAGGTGGAACAAAATTATATATTACGAAAACAATTTACCAGAAAAATCCATCCAAAATCCAAAAAAGGACGCGCAGCCGAATTAGCGGACAGAAGTCCAGAAGAACTACAGTTTGCTTCACAAATCAGGTTCAATCTACTCCAAGTTTTACTCCCATTGAAGCTTTGGCACTTATGTTAGATTTGGATATATCTGTCAGAAAATACATAATTCTCAGATCGGCCATTAATGCTAAAACCCAAAATTTTCTTCCCAGCTATTTTCAACTAAAGGAATATAAACAAAATTTCAATAGGCCTGAAAGCACAGACGAGTTTTTATTCATTAATTGATGATGATGAGGAAACGGTATAATTTGTATTGCAGACCCATAAAATTTTTATTTCAAAAAGAAAGTGCTAATCTAGTATGCAATGTAGAAAAAGATTTAAAAGAAAAAATTCAAAATTTACAAGAGTTTGCAATACAAAATAGGGATGGTATAAAACGTAATATCCGTGCCGATTTGTGGCTAACAATGATAGACGGTAATGTCACAAACATTCTCTCAGAAAGAAATTCGACAACAAAATGCCTCATTTGCGCCTAAAGAAATGAACACTTTAATTGTAATTGATCGTCCATCCAACTCAGATAACTACCGCTTTGGTTTGTCCACTTTGCATTGCTGGATTCGTTTTTTTGAGTGCCTTATTCAAGGCCATTGTAGAAGCCAACAAAAAACGAATGCAGGCAGAGTTTAAGGCTAAAATGGTTGTTACAGTGGACACACCAAAGTCGGGGTATGGCTCCTCAAATGACGGCAATACCGCCAGAAAGTTCTTCAAAAACTCACAAATCAGCTCAGAAATTACAGGTGGTGACCAAATCTTAATAGAAAAGTTTTCAATTATATTACGGGTATTAGCCAGAGGTGGTGTAATTGACTTAGATAACTTTAAAATATTACTAAACGAAGCTAGAATTATGCATTTAAATCTTTATAATTGGTATAATATGCCAAACACTGTACACAAAGTTCTTGTACATGGCTGTGAGATAATCGATGCCTTCTCATTACCAATCGGTGAACTTTCTGAAGATGCTCTCGAAGCTAGACACAGGGAGGTAACACCAGGAAATTCTCTATGTTAGCATCAAATAAGTATTTAATGCGCATACTTCTCAGTTCAGATCCTTTCATTGCATCTAAAAGAAACATAACCAACAAAAAAAATGGACAGTCTTATGAAGATATAAATAAATATTTAAAGGATGACAAAAATTTAAGTTATAACAATTTAGGTGTAGATATGGAAGAATTCTCTAATTATAATAGTTCTGATGAATAGGTTTAAATTTTGTTTTTAAGTTTTTTATCTCTCTGTTCCGCATCAAAACTTTTCTTTTTTAAATTTTTAAAACCAGGTTTACCTACATTTGTGAGTTTTGACATTTTTTTTTGTCTAAGTTAATTTATTTTTAATTGGTTAATCGAAAAGTCATTTATAAATTTACATTTATTCCACTTATTATCCATTTTAAGTTATAATATATAAAATATTACGAAAAGTTTTTGTTCTGGGGAGTAGCACCGTGGCTGCCGCGCCCTCTACCGAACACTAAATAAACTGCCAATAATGTTGTGTGTTCTGTTAGTTTATACATTAAGTTATTAAACACCGTTTACAGAACCTAAATTAATGCTTTCATTTTTAAATTATCGAGTTTTGTCTTTACACGTCACACTGTGTGACGTATAAAACAAGACACTACCATTTTTGTGATATATTAGCCTATATAATATTTTTTATCAAAATGGTTTTTTGCGAATTTAGCATAAGTGAAAGGAGTGATATGCTTCAAGTATATTTTCTGAATCATAAAAATGCAACCAGAGCTCGTCGTCGGTATATTAGACTTTATACAGAGCGCCGAGCTCCTTCAAAACAGATATTTCTAAGCCAGGCAAAGAGATTTGCAGAGAACGGTAACGTATTAAATGTAAAAAAGTATGCCGGAATCAAATTGTTTTAAATGAAGAAAATAACTCTATTACTGGAGTATATGAAGAAACAGGTAATTCGTGGGGATCAATTCACTCAGTTTTGAAAGAATATCAAATATGTACAATATCATTTAAATTTTGTAAAACTCAAAAACTAAGTGCAGAACAATGTCGGAGGAGGATGCAGTTTTGTTTGGACTTTTTAAATAGAAAATTCGTTCATTACAAGAAAGGGTTGTAAGGGTTGTAAAGGGCAAAATACGCGATATTAGCCTTTAGAGCACCAAATAGAACAATATACCACTAAATATATCAGTGCTGATTATATGGCGGCAAGATGGTGCCCCTTCTCTAATGTTGTGTGAGGTTGGATAGAACTTTTAAATTTTTCAATTTTCTTTGTAAGCCCGCGTAATATTGTTTCCCGATAAAGGATCGCCTGAAATTGTAAAAATTGATGGAATCTTCAATCGCAATCGAGTCTCTTTGTTTCAATTGACAGTCAATGGTTTCCGTTTTCGTTCGTTTCGTTCGTTTCAAATACGGGCAACGACTGTGACGGAGTGTACATTGGACAGACTAGCCAACTGTTGAAGAATGGCATCAATGGCCACAAGTACGACAAAAAACAAAACAAAACAGCCGTCAGCAGCCATATAACGGAGAAAAGACATATTTTTAACTCGATGACACAAAACATACTTACTACAGAACCAAACACACAAAAGAAGGAAATAATTCAGATGATACATATTCAAAGAAATAAAAACTCCATAAACGCGAAAACCGACATAAAACATCTGAGTGAAACCTATTTTGAATTGTTAAAGTAAACCATTTTAATGCTCAGACGCTCCACCGTCTATCAGTAGGTCTTAAACTTAACACAAACGTACCCTCTAAAAAATGAATAAATAAAAACTAAGAGGAAAAAAAAGGCATATCTGATATCCCGGAATATATTGTCATCACATATATATAATTATATATAAATGATGACACTATATTCCGGGATATCATCCGTTCGCTTGTTGAACTCCGACTGGATTCCTGCAGACGTTTCGCCAAAATCTCACTTGGCATCTTCAATGCTCGCGCTCCGAAAACACTTCGAACACTGGGAGGTTATCGGCGGTGCGTGCGGTATTTATACCCTGCGCCGGAGATGGTAACGGTGCTGCTTGTGCGGGTGGGGAGGTGGCTCCGCCCCCCGAATTGTCGCGTTGTTAATTTCGCCCGATCGTAGTTGCGATGTCCCCGTTGGCACGTGGAGAACGATAATCAAACAGCAGAGCGATGCGCAGCATGTGATGACAATATATTCCGGGATATCAGATATCATCCGTTCGTTTGTTGAAATCCGAGTGGATTCCTGCAGACGTTTCGCCAAGATCTCACCCGGCATCTTCAATGCTCGCGCTCCGAAAACACTTTGAACAATTTCCGAAATCGAAAATTTCTAATGAAGTCACAAGGTCCGACGTAGATCGTTGGCGCTAGTATCGCAATTCCTCATGTGATCTTAGTACGTCCGCCGCTCGTAGTGACTTCCCTCTCAATCTCCGTGATTCAGTTATAGTACCTTACGACTTCCCGTATGATCGTAAACTGGCAACGCTGCATTTTTTGTATAGTTCAATGCCATTATTTTTGATGTCTGATACCGAAAAAATTCCTTTATTCTTCTGCATTTTCGGGTGATGAGCGGCACTTTGTTACTTCCGGAAAAACGAATAGAAGTAAATTAATACTTTCCCTTGTTTTGGACAAAACAAGTAAGTGTTCATAAAGATATGATCAAGGATTCATTTGTAGCCTATAGTTATCTAAACATATAAACATACTTTAATTATTGTCCTTCTGATTACTTTTATGTCTTTCTGTAAACTTTTTAATAGTATTCAAAACATGAAATGAATTTTTTAAAGATATAAGTTTTATAGTAAAAAAAACGTCAGACTGAACTGTGAGACCTTTAATTAATAATAAAAGATGAATATATTTAAAAATAATTTCTGCTTGAAATTCTTGTTTGCATTATGAAAAGTAATTTTTTTTTACTTTAACGTAATCAAATGAGTATTCATATTTTTGACCTGATTATTTAGACAGTTTAGATTTAGATTCTAAATTTTTTTAAATTGCTTTTCATTGGATACGTAACAAAGAAAAGATTATTTATTGTGGGTTTGAAACCACGTGTGGTGATTTAATTTCGAGGTTTGGGGTTCTTGGAATTGAATATCGCTATATTTAAAATAGTGCGAGCAGTACAGCGTTCTAAAGTTAATTGGTAGTTAGGTTCGAAGCAATAATTGTTCAATAATGTGTATTTTAGAAGAAGCTTCAAAATTTTTACCTGACCCTAGCACTATACCAGAATGGAACGATCACGAAAAGGCTCTTGTAAGTTAAATCGATTAATTTTGTAGTTCACATAAATACGAAAGACACGCAAAACACGAGGTCGTTTCAGGAGTGGGTTAAAAAGAGTGACTTTGACCAATGCTCTCTACCTGAGTTCTATCAAACAGTAGACGAAAAAGATATAGTATTAAAACCTTTCGTAAATAAAGACAGTTTTGCAAGTGAAAAACAGGACGATATTATAAGACAAGCCAACACAGAAACTTGCTGGTACAATCCTAAAAATGAAACAAAATTGTTCCAAAATACCGATAATGTTACCACAGATGACATGCCGAAGATTAAAACAGAATTTAATTCACTTAAGAAGCCTTGCTTACCATCCCAAAATCAAAAGATAGAAGTAAGTAAACATTTTCAAATGTGTTCAAACATGTCTAATATTGTTAATCATTTTGCGTTTGCAGAATACTTTTTTATTGCAAACAGTGGATAATGATTTTGTGTCCGATTTTTATCATGACATTGACAGAAGCACTGAAGAATATAAACTTACAGTATTACAACCTTTACCGAGTAATTCTTGTGAAACCCAAGATTTTAATTCAGAACAATCAATTGCAAACAATAATTCTGACGATGACGTGAAGCACTGCGCAGAACTTCCGCCTAAAAGAGTAAAAGTAAGTGTAATTTGTCGAAAAACTGATGCATTCTAGATTTTTTTACTGTAGATCAATTCCTCAATTGAACTGGTTTTACCGGACCTCCAATTGAGTAACAGAAAGTGCACCAAGAATGAAAAAACGGAAAAGCTCTTGCAGCAAAAAATTTATATATAAAGATAGTGGACACAAAACTCCAGAGACCCAAGAAAAGTATTAAAAAATTAAAAATGCTGAAAGAAGTTATTTTTAATTTTTGAAATAAACAAATTTTTGTAGGTCAGGTGGCGCTTTGTTTTTTAATTGCATTGAAAAGGTCCTTATAATTCTTTTACGATTTTAACAACTCATCGTGTTTGAGCATTTTTAATTTTTGCAATACTTACTTCGAGAAAATCAAATAATTTTCACTCCCAGTTTTGCTCATTTTTATGTTAATACTTTTTCATTTACTTTTGCGCATTGTAAATACAGGTTATTTTCGTTTAATTTTGCGCTCTCTGTTGAAATTTTCTGTGACGATAAATAAAACATAAAATAAAGACATTTTAAAAAAATGTGGAGACTACATGAAAAAAATATGAAACTTTTTTTTGCTAAAACTACTACGTCAAGAAATATATTATTAGTTTCATAATTGCTATGTATTTTTTGCGTATTTTGGAGGTATCAGTAAATTTATTCCTAGTTTTAACAAGCATTTTTTCGGGATATTCGAAATGCATTTTATAAAAATTAGTTTAAGCCACTGGCAACCCAACCTAGCGTTTTTAAACATTTTTCGTTGAGTTAGGTAGATAGAATATTTTTAAAAGATAGGTCCAATATTCATTTTAAGTTTCTGTTTTATAGAGACTTCATACACTGCAGAAAAAAATGATTCGATGCAAATTTTGTGAGGAAGACGTGTTTAATAAAAATTTTTCGCGTCATATCCAAAGGAGACACTCCAATGAAGAAGAGGTTATTGCAATTTTTCAATATCCTAAAGGAAGCAGGAAAAGGCGCGACGCACATGCTTTATTAGAAAATGAAAGTTTTTTTAACCAATACATTCATGGAAATACTAGACCAAATCGAAGAGGTCCAGATAATATTGATAATGGTGCGTTTTACTTGCCATGCGCATATTGTAAGGGCGTCTATTACAAACAATATTTAAGGAGGCATTCAAAATTCTGTATCGTCCAAAGAGAACTGAGCACAAAGGAGAGGGGAAGTCAGTTATCACTTTCACAAACTTTGACTGCGTGCTCGATGGATCCCACGAATGTTATTTCCAAACTAAATGTAAAGAAAGAGGTAATGTTCACGTTAATCGTTTAATAAATATGGCTATTGCTAAGGTTAATGTGTACAGCTCTGAAAAAATCACTCTAGCTAAAGATTGAAATGTTTTAAATACATTGTTTTCTATTAATTAAATTTTGATTAAGAACGTTTTAACCAAAATTCCAATCTTCCCTTAAAGCTTTTGTTTTCAGGTGTTTAATATAATGAAAGGCGACGAAATATCTTTTGAAGCAAAAAAAGATCTATTAATATGTAAATACGGGGAATCTTACCTAAAAAAACACAAACGAGAAGGCATTAGATATGCTTGCAGCAACAGAATGCGCGAATTGTCTAGACTGTTAATCGAATACAGAAAGATTGTGAATTCAAGTGTAGCGCTTAAAGACATAATTGATCCCAAAAATTTTGATGTCATTATCACTGCAGTCCGAAATATTGCTGGTTATGACCCTTTTAAAAAAACTTTCAAAGCTCCTAGTTTAGCGATGCACCTTGGGACATCCTTAAAGGCGGTGTGTGACGTATTAATTCATCAGGTTCTGAATGAAAGTGACGGTTTTAAAGATTTTGACGTTAAAGCGTGGTCCGATAAAATAAAAAACTTTAAGAAGTTAGTCGAAAGTCGTTGGAATATGGAATTATCGTCCTTGGCAAATAAGGATCTTCAACAAAAAAACTGGGACAAACCACTTCTTTTACCTCTTGTAAGTGACCTCAAGAAATTGCGTGAAGAAGTACTAAAGATGGGAAAAGAATGTTGTGACAAATTTAATCAGAGCTTGGACGATGTAGAAACATATAAACTTTTAGTTCGTTGTTCGCTAGCGCTTTTGATAATATTCAACAGGCGTAGGATTGGTGACGTTCAATTTCTGAAGATTGAAGACTACCGTCGAGTTAGAAGCACGGAGTGTAAAGATTTTGAAACCACCCTAAGTGATACAGAGAAGTTATTAACTAAGAAGTATAAGAGACTATTGAGTAGCGGAAAAGGTTCTCGAGCAATATTCATTTTACTACCCAAGATATTGGAAGATTTTATTGAAACTATGTTGAGTAATAGAAATAAATATATTTCAGAAGAAAAGATTTTTGTCTTCGCCGTACCTGGCAGCAAGATAAAGTGGGGCCAAGGTGATGCCGTCATTAGAATGCTGACCAAGAACATTGAGTTCCAGAATCCAGATGCTATTTTTAGCAACAAATTACGAAACCACATCGCTACTGTCATGCAAATACTTAATATGACACCAAACGAAACGAAGCAATTTGCGAATTTTATGGGCCATACCCAGAAAACTTACGATGAATACTATGAGTAAGATATTTTTTAAATCTTAGTTTTGTTAACGATATCTTTAACAAAATTTGTTCTCTGTCAATGTTTTCATTGTAAATGGATAAGCATGTATCAAAATATCTCTTAAAATGCAAGAATTTGTAGTTACTTATCTTATTGCAATACCTTTGAAAATCGCGTATGTTAAATACGTATAATCTGTAATATTTAATATGTTTTTATTTAATTTAATATCTCAATCATTAATGAAAGTAAGTTGAATCACACAAAAAACTTGAGGACAAATTGTAACTGACCAAAAAATGCCCCATCCTGTAGATATTAAACATCACTAAAAATATTGAGCTTCTACAAAATAGTAAGCGTTTCAAATCACAAAAAAAGTGTTCGGAGCCATGTTTCTACGAACTACTTATTTAAGGTTGAGTTGCTGACTAGTCTTTAATAAAAAAAGGTATTGCCTTTCGCATGTTAATATAGCACAAAAACGAGGCCATTGAAGAAAAATAACTTGTATAGTTAAGATGGTTTTCTTCTCTTCTCTTCTTTTTTTGTTTACTAATTAGCTAGTCTTATTTGTGTATGTATTTCATACCTGTTAAATGTTATTGCAGGCTGCCTGTAGACATTTATCAGACCGCAAAGGTTTCAAAAATGCTTTTGATGATGGAAAAAGCAACCCTTCCTGTCGAATATAAAGGCAAATCGATAAACGAAATAGACATTGATATTGACTATCCCGAAGAAAATGAACCTCAAGGTAGTCATGCAAAAATTTTTCTATTTACTACTAGTTTGCCATTTTATATCTAAATGGTTTCAGAATCCTCGTCACCAAATGCACCCACACAAGACAATGAAATATTGTTTGTGTGTAAAAAAGAAAATATCGAAGCGAATAAAGATATTAATATTTTTGACCAACCAATTCCAGAAAATATTAAGAACGAGGATCAAGAAATTAATATTATAGGTAATTCTTTGTGTTTCTATTACTTTTACTCAGTTATACTGCGATAGGCATGGTTCATTAGGATAAGAGGAAAAAATAAACCGATTCGAATTAACGAAAATTTAGGTCAGATTTATTTTTAATAAATTTATTTTGTTACTGGGGTGTCAAAAAACTAATAAAACTAATGTGAATATAACAAAAACAGTTGGTGTGTTTTTGACAAAACGCTGTTTCTTTCAGATAAGCCAAAAGTCTCCAAAGTTATAAATAAGCGATGTAAGTGACAAATACTAATTTATAAAATAACAACAAACACACCTTAACTAATTTTTCGAACACGTTTTATGAAAAATATTTTTTATTTTAGCGTGGAGCGAGAATGAAGTAAATTGCATCCAGAAGGAGTTTGCACAATACCTCCAAACAAACACTTACCCACCGTCGACTGAAATAAGAGAATTTATTACAACCTTTAACTCTAAGAGAAGTGTGTCCGTTATAAAATCCAAAATACAACATTTGCTGAAGTTAAAAAAAAAAAGTTTACATTGATTTTGACATCTTGTAACCAATACCTCGATCAATAAAAAAGAGTGTTTTGAGTATACTGATCCTTTTTATTTAGTTTTAGATAATAAAAATTTAAATAAACCAAAATAATACTCAAAAAATATCAAAAAAGGTTTGTGACTACTTGGCCTCGACAATTTGCATGTCCGAGATCATTTGATCTCTAAAATTTATTGGAAATTCAGTCAGAATTATTAGTTTTTTTGTCGTATTCCCATAAAAATTTAGCAAAAGTTGACATCTTTTTAAAAAATATGTAGCTCCTCCAAAACTAAATCCGCGGCACGTCACTATGCGACCGCCAGCAAATTACATTTAAACGCACCCAGAGCCGTTCGTCACGTGCAACGGATTTAGTTTTGAGTGAACCGCGTTTGCAATATCGAACGAATTCGATACACAGCTGAAACTCTTACTTATTGTGACTTCCTTGTCACTTCTTGTTTCAGAAGTGGGAAAGAGTGTTTGATGTCCAATAATTTTAAAAAGAAAAATATTTACCCCTCATGCGAAACCTTATATAAGTTTTATAATGTATGTCCTGTAAATACTGGAAGTCAGTCTTAACCTAGCGGAAGTCACAACTTCACAAGTATCTATATATATTATATATATAATATATTCTCCCGACGGAGAATGTTTTAATAATGTTTTGACTTTTTCTTGTCCTATTTGTGTGTATATACTTTATAGAATTTATATTATACAAGAGTGGTAATAATATGCGATACCAACCCAAACGTTTTAATGGTACTATGATGCTCCCCTCCCTTTTTTCGTTTTGTGGAGAACTTGTTTTACACTAATCATTCTGAAGAAGGTCATGAATGACCGAAACGTCACTAAACTGGCAAGTTTTTGAGCACTTTTGGTATTACACAGACCTTAAACCCAAGAATCAGCAAGCTAATATATATATATATATATATATATATATATATATATATATATATATATATATATATATATATATCAGTGTTCGAAGTGTTTTCGGAGCGCGAGCATTGAAGATGCCAAGTGAGATTTTGGCGAAACGTCTGCAGGATTCCAGTCGGATGCAAGATTTGCAGGATTCCAGTCGGATGCAGGATTCCAGTCGGAGTTCAACGAGCGAACGGATGATATCCCGGAATATAGTGTCATCACATTTTTCCATCCGTGAATCAATACGTGAGAATATATATATATATATATATATATATATATATATATATATATATATATATATATATATATATATATATATATATATATATATATATGACTTAAAAGACTTCTCTCTTTGGATTCTAGATTCTATATGGTTCGACGTGAGCAATTCCCGGTCGGATGAATTGAAGCCAGTCTTGAAACCAGATCCTTTAGATCACGACCAATCGGGAAGCTCTGATTTGAGCAAACACGTTATGCCGCACCAAAGTCCCGACGAATTAACTCTGTATAAGTGTCCAGGTTGCGATTTTCGAACCAAATACAAAAGGACCTATCTGAGACACACAAAGCGGCCATCGAGTGGCGAAGAAAAAAGATTCAAGTGCGCCATGTGTGATTATCTGTGTGTCATGAAGTGCGAATTGAAAAAGCACGACGCGGCGCACAAAAGTACGGACGAGCTTTATAAGTGCAACTGTTGCGATTATCGAACTAAATACAAATGGGGCTTGATAGCGCACACGGAACGACATACGGACGTCGACGGGAAAAAGTTCAAATGCGACTTGTGTGATTACCGTTGTGTTGCGAAATCGGATTTGATCAAGCACACCATAGTGCATAAAACGCCAGAGGAACTGTCTCTATACAAGTGCGATGCATGCGATTTTAAAACCAAATATAAGAACAATTTAGCGGCCCACGGACAACGACACTTGCTGGAGAAAAGGTTCAAGTGCGACTTGTGCGACTACCGTTGCGTCCTTAAGTCGTACTTGAAAAAACACTCGCTAGTGCACAAAAACGCCGACGAGGTGCCTTTATATCAGTGCAACAGTTGCGACTTTCGAACCAAATACAAAGGCGATATGGTGAAACACATAAAACGACACTAAATCGGCCTTGAAGGAACACTCTATAAAGCTCCGAAGAACATAGTAGACGCCCCATCCAGTTATCTGCGCTTACGAGGAATGTGCGAATTGACCGTAAAGACCAAATTTTTGTGGTGTGTTGTGTTTGACCACGCCTATGACTTTAAAACAACATTATGATCCATTTTTGTATTTATATTAAATTTATTATATTTTCTATTTATAATTTATTATTATTATTATTTTATAGAAACAAAAGAAGATACAGGAGAAGAAACTCGACATTACTAAATGCTACGTCGGCAACGTTTATTCTAAACTGAATAGTTATACTTCGACCAGGATTATAGTGCTTTTACAACCGACCCCGCCATTAACTTTGCTACTATTTATTATTCCAAAACCGCTGCCCTTTATAGAACTCCCTGCCGAGCAGAGCCTTACCCGTAACCATCCCAGGATCGTCCTAGGAATTTATCTACCTAAACTAACAAGCGGGATATAAGTAGATTTTCGAACAAAGTTAGTACAAAGTAACAATTCTATGTCTATGTCCCTTGTTTTTATTGCTGCTCCTACTTCCCATTTGAAATTTCTTATAAAATTGTAAACATTCAAAACAATTTGTTTATCATCGGAAGACAAATGGATCCGTTTTTTTTTTATTTGTTGAGGTAGTTCGTCTTCTAAATTGTCATTAGATTCGGCTACCATCTCCACTTCGTTTTCAAATTCTGCGCTGTTTTCCATGTATTCTTTTAAATAGGACCATCTGCTTCATTCCACGGTCTCTACATTTTAAAATGTTAAAAAACAGGAACCTTGAAAATAATTTAATAAATATTGATCTGTATTCTTAGGTCGTGCCTTTATCTGCATCAAATATAATTTATAGTCTTAAAAAATACAAGAAGAAAAATGTTGTTAATCGAAAGGCAACAAGATAAAAATGATTATTTTCAAACTTACTTGTAAGATAAATCGAGTACAGGCCTTTGAACTATCCAGTGAAACCAACCTCGCAGGGTCAAAGATCGAGAACCAGGTACATAAATGCGTACTTACTGTAATACGAACATATTGCAATTTAGATTAAACTCGTAAAAACGATACATATCACCTGATGTTTTAAAATAAACGCTTCTACTTATTCGAAAAAACCCCGCAGCATCAATGCTTAATCAAGTTTCTACAAATATTCGTTACGAACTACGTAAAGACTTTTTAGTCGTAGTGTGAAATGAATGTTTCTGCAAGTGGAGTATCTTGAAATCAAAACAATGATTTTTTAAATTTATAGAGAAGTTTAGCTAATTAATTCAAGGTGGTAACTGCCGCCAGAGCAATCTGTTGACAGGATTGCACCAATTTTTAAGGGAAGATGTCCATTTGGTGAAACCATTAAATATGATTTAGAAAAACTTAATTGCAAGTCTCAAGTTGATGAAAATGGGGTTTCAAGAAGACGCTGACAAATCGGTGGTGTTTTCTGATGTATATTTCTTTGCAACACTGACTAAGGTACTGAAAAATAAACTTAAATAGAGAAAATGGTAAATGAAACAAAAAACGATTAAATCAGGGGATGGGTACAGGCCAAATATAGAGGGTACATATATGTGTAAGATTTGTGAGGAAAATTGTTAGCAATATTTCCCAACTAACATTGTTCTCCGCTTAAAGTTTCGTAAAAAACCTTAACTTTTGTAACAGTTTTTATAGTGGCATGAGAAAACCGTTGGGGTTTCATAAACACCAAAACTGTTGCATAATTTTAAAAGGCACAAAAAACTGAACACACTTCTTTTAAGAAAAAAAATATAAACAACTGAAAAGTGAGGTTATGATTGCATAGATGACGTGTAAAAGAGTTCTTGAAGGCATTTTCATGATAAAGTCATTACTGACAAAAGCTTGGGGCAAACGCAAAATACAATGACAATGATGTAGGAAAAAGGGCGCTTTTTGTTTGGTATTTATAAACATTGCAAATAGTTTTTATAGTGCTAACGAAAATGGTATTTCTTGCCCTTATAAAATGTATTTATGGTTTATAACCTCATAATTTGGTTAGGTTTTTAAGATTCTCCATTGAAGTACTATAATGGTAAAAAAAAACGTTTCGCGTCTTAAAATTCAGTAATTGAAACGTGAAAAACGAGTTTAAGTTTGAAAGTAAAAACTATTCCATAACACCGGCCGTTCTTCTAGTATTTGTATAGTAAACAGGTTTTGTCTCTTTCGATTCTAGATTCGCTTTTTCCGGCCATGAGACGTGACGATGACAATTCGGGGTCGGATGATATGACGTCACTGTTAAAGGTAGAAGCGTCTGATTGCGACCCGTCAGAAAACTCGATACCCTTCGTGCTCAAAAATCGACAAAAAGTGGCAATATTCGAGTGCGACTTGTGTTACTATCGAACCAAGAAGAAGGACCGTTTCAGATGTCATTCGTTGGTGCACAAAAATGCGGACGAGGTTCCTCTATATAAGTGCAACGTCTGCGATTACCAAACCAAATACAAAAGTGGGGTCGTCGCCCACTTGAAACGACACTCGGCCACTAGTGAGAAAAAGTTCAAGTGCGCCCTGTGTGATTATCGGTGCTTCTTTAAATCGGAACTCAACAAACACTCATTAGTGCACAAGAATGCAGACGAGGTATCTGTATATAAGTGTGACAAGTGCGATTATCAAAGTAAGTACAAAGGCACCTTGTCGAAGCACAAAGAACGGAAACACTTGGACAGCGACCAGAAAAAGTTCCAGTGCGAAAACTGTGATTTTCGGACTATCTACAAGGGGGCCTTGTTGAGGCACAAAAAACTGCAACATTTGGACATAGTGAAAAGATTCAAATGTGACCTATGTGATTACCGTGGTTTTATCAAATCGCATCTGATACAACACTCTCTAGTGCACAAGAAGCCGGAGGAAGTGTCTTTGCATAAGTGCGACAGTTGCGAGTTTCGAAGTAAACACAAAAAGAGTGTACTGGAGCACTCCAAAAGACACTCGGACACCGTTCAGAAAAAATTCAAGTGATTATCTCTACAATCATAAATACGAATCGAAGAGGCATTTTGTCGTGCAGAAGTGCCTCTATATAAGCGCGACCAGTGCGAATGCCGCATTCGACTTTTTACGTTTTGGTGCATTTTTGTTGTATATTCAAATAAAAGCAAATCTTTCCTTTTTTATTCATAATCCAGACAATTTACTACATTCAAAACTTACTGTATTACTACTGACAACGCCGCGTCCGCTTTAAACTTGAGTAACTTCAATCTTAATTTACCGAGGGTTGCGCTGAATTTTATCGGTTAACAAGGGTAAACGGCATTGCCCATCAAGTGCGCATGCTTCCAATAAGGGATAAAGTAAAACAACGCCAAAGTCCCCCTAATAGGTGATGAAAGTTGATTACGTTTCCTTATTTAATCAATAATTTCTGAGGCCCACTAAGGTCACTGATAACATTCGTGTTGCGGTGAACCAAGATCCTAATAAGTGGCTTACAGACACTCAAAAGTGCGGACCACGTGCCTCTATATAAGTGCGATCATCAAACCAAATAATGCGGAGGACTTCTGAAGCTCAGCAGACGACATTCGGGAATCAGCGAGAAAAATTCAAGTGATTCAATGCGATTACCGTTGCCTGGTTGTTGGTCAGAAACGCGATAATGCAGAAAAAACCCGAAAAGTTCCTTTATTTAATAGCTACAAATGGCATTTTCAAAGCAAACACCAAAGAAACGTGGTGGAGCATTTGGAACAGCACAAATGCAATTTTTGTGATTCCACAACCGTTTTTAAATCAGATTTGACAATACGTGTCCAAGAGCACCACAATTGAGAGGAAACGGCTTTATATAAATGCGATTTTTAAACAATATACGAAACGAGCATACTATACCGCACAAAACCCAATGGCCATGAGATTCATGTACGAAAGTGGGGTGACAAGTTTTGACCCTGACAAAGAAAAACGATGTTTAAAAAAATGCTTCTATCACATAATCTCCATCAACATTTCTCATAACGGTGTTCTAATTTGGTTATACCAGTTTTCAAGGTACATTCGTCAAAATACTGATTTAGAGCTTCGATAACTTCCCCGTTGCTCTCAATCGTTTATCGCTAAGTCTGGGGAGTAGGGAGGTGCGGCATCAATTCAAACTTCAATTCGTGGATTTTGGACATGGCGACAATCGACGAATGGGCTGGTGCGTTATCGTGATGAAACAATTTTTTTTTCCTCACCAATTTGCACCTCGTACTTCCAACGTTGCAATAACTAAGGGGCAAAAGTAGAAATACCTTGGTCCGATTCACAATTTAATTAGGTAAAACGAGAGGGTCGAAAGAAAGAAGAGGGACATTTTGAAGCGTCTCGTTGACGTCACGTGCTTCCTCGGCCAACTCAATCTCAGGGACACGAGCGAACCGAGTAATCTCTCGAACTATGCGCGTTTAATCGAGCTATTGGCGAATACGACGAGCCCCTACGAAGCCACTTAACCTTCGTCGTACCGCGGTCAAAAAGTTACGCAGAACACCATGTTAGGTATAATTGTACTCCACTCTAATTTGAACGCTTGGTGATATTTTATGCGACAATTCTCATAGACTGTAACAACAAAATCAAATAGTGTAAATAAAATATGTTAAATGCATATTATATTTATTGAAAACGTTGAACAAAATAAACAATTCTCAAAAATGTTAAAAAAACGTTAGACGAACTCCTCTACTCATATTAATTCTTACGTTTTTTCATACAAAATCTGCAAGTTATCGGTTTTACACTATGGTCAGTGCATGTAAATTTTTGGAGTCGCAACATTGTTGCCTGGACTTGAGATCTTTTTTTCTATTGCACAAATAACATCGTCCAGAAACAAGTCGTTCAGGTTCTTGGGAATGGATTTCATGGTGCTTTTTCAATTCTGGAAACATTTCTAGCACATGATTTGACACTGTTGGGAATTTTTGGTTCTGTTTTAAATCGTCTTATGATATTTTCCCTAATCAATGGCTCTCCTAAGTCCAAAAGAAATTTTCTTCTGCTGTCTTTGCCATGAGAACCAAACCATGCTATGCTATATTAAATAAAAATGTTTACCAGTACCGTTACCGAAACAAAATACGCCCACGACAATAAAAGATCAAGCCTCGCCTTCGAGTCGCCTGCAACTTCCGCGTCAAAAAGAACTACATGAAAAATTATACGTAACTGCTTCGACATCGTACATAAATAAACATTATCAGGGGAAACCGCATGATCGTAACCAGGAAGTCGGTTTAATATAATTTGGGACTATGTAATGAAATTATTCTATAATGTTGGATGTGCAATGTTTCGGATAATTTCTAAAATTTCTTACTTCTGACACCTATAAAACGGTAGTCGGTACATTCACCAAACAGCGTAAAACTATTGCTGCTTTTTACGTAACTGTCTATTAATTCAAAAACGAATTACTTTTCAATAATCTCAATTCAAAAGTATGCAGTAAATAGGGAAATGTCAAAAATTCCAACACAGAACGTAAGAGAAAACTGGGTCACAGAATACGTAAAAACAATATAAAATTGATATGTCGCAATTTTTGGCAATTCTACTTTTCTGGTATATTATTGTAGGCTTTTTGTTGAATGTAATGTCAAATAAATAAGAACGGGAAATATTAGAAAAATGCGAAATTGATATCTAAATTGCTAATGTTCTCTTCACAAGTTTCAGATATTTTTGCAATTAAAATGGCGTACCCTTAGTTGTAATGTGAAAGGAAATTTAAAGAGGTTAAATTAACATTTTCGCCAAAATGAATGTAATTAATACCAAGTGTATAGCATAATATATCATAAATTTGTAAATAAAGCAATGATTAGAAGTTCTGGTGTTCTGAGTATAAACGATAACTAAATCATTCTACGGAGAAATCCGAAAATGCATAGTGGTAGACCGAATACACCGCAGAAAATAATTTCTGTAGTGGCGACATCTTAACGAAAGTGACTAATTTAGAACTTCAGAAACCACTTACAAAATATTGATCGCGTCGTCAACACCAGTTTCGCCACCGTGCGAGAGATGGCGCCAATATGCAGAATTATAAAACCCTATAATTAATATAGGTTTCCTAATTAGCGATAAAGGTGTAATTCCTGGCTTTAAATTTTGTACAAAACCACTTAGCCTCACGACAACGCTGTTATAACCAAAATAAAAAATGACTGGAAATGGCTCCAACCCGTATCATATCTCCCAACGTAAACAAATAGATCACAGCATGAAAGTGATTTATATACCCTCGGAACTAATGGCCGCCTTTGAGTATTATACACACACAAAAGTATACACACACACACAGAGGCACGGACCATATGGCGACGATCACCTCTCTGAATTATGGCGTCAATGGATATGTTGATTTCCAGATGAACGCGTTGATGCGAGCAGCCGTAGTTTCCTTCCTTTGTAGCCGTTTTTGTCTGTCAGTGGCTTTAAACGGCGGCCAATCTAACGCAACGTAAATTGGGTGTTTACCCCTGGAGTTATTAATAAAAAATGCCACGGATACGTCTATACGTAGAGGCCGGTTGTCAAATGCCAAAAATATTTTCGGGACGGCATGCTTTTTGCCTCTTATGCGAAGGGCCAAGATATTTTGCTACCAAATGATTTAAACCTGTAAGAGAGATGCCATTGAAATTACATCTTTAAAATGGAATTACATTAATCTTACCGACCTAATATTTGTCTAATTATTTTCGTTATAATTGGCTGTAACTTTCTTGTAAACAAAAAGCAAAATGAAGGTTTAGTAGCCAAGTTTTTCTTCAAGTGACGAATAAAACAAAACACTATCAATTTTCTGACATATAAACCTACCTATCATATTTGTTAAATGAAATATCCTGTATAGTATATATGTGTTTAATAAAATATCTTATTTAGATTACAATGATGTAACATCTGGTTTTTGACAAATAGGAAAAATTGGAAATTTTTGTATAATTTCAGAGTGCCGTGACTGACTGCAACGGCAATAATTATTTATAAATTAAAGTAGAACAAAAGTAAAAAATTCTTCAACTGTTTTAAATACTGTGTGTACCACCATTTTTCTAAACACATTTCTCATACACTCGAATTGTATGATGTCTTGCATTTAGTAACATATCCGAAATGTCTCTTAACTGATTGATTGCCTCTGAATTATTAATCCATAGTGCCGCTGTTCCCTATTCAACCCCTGGGATATTCCACGTTACGAAAATTTTCAACATGCACAACATTGTGAGGAGGGCCACCGTCTTTCTGCCATATTATATGCGCTCATATATTTCGGGGTAAACTTTCTATATATGAAATATCTATATCTATAAATATCGGTCCCAAAATATGTCCATCCATGACACCACACCATACATTAATTGATTGGTACCCCTGGGTTTTTATTTCGTGTATTTGTCTGGTATTATTTAAAGACCAATATCGCGTGTTTTGTCTATTATAACCCTCTCTCGTAGCGAACGAACTTTCATCAGTCCATAAAATGTTTTTCAAAAAGTTATTTTTCTCGTTAGGTCTAATAGATTCAAATAAAACTGCACCCTCCTATGACACGGTTCTGCACTTAGTTTTTGAATTTTACGAAATTGAAATGCATTATATTTATACTCTTTCAAAACTGAGTGGATTGATCTCCAAGAAATACTTACCTGTCTCTTCATATACTTTAGTAATAGAGGAAGCTGGATGTGCTTCATAGAGTTCTAATATGTTTGCCTTATCTTTATAGCCTTTAATACGTTACCGTTTTCTTCAAATTTCTTTGCCAGCCTTGGAAATATCAGTTTTGAAAGAGCTCGGCGCTCTGGATAAAGTTTAATATACTAACGACGAGCTACGAGCACACTTTTATTATTCAGAAAGTAACTTGAACCATATCACTCCTTTCAGCGATGTTAAATTCGCAAAAAAACTTTTTAACAATAATAACTTGGTCAATAATTCAACCACCAACGTTGTTTACTAATATGTCAAACATAAACATATTTTTATTTGTTGTGTTACCTCATTGTAATCGGAATAAGATATTCTATTAAACACGTACATAATATACAGGGGGTTCCATTTAAAAAAACATGATGTAGGCTTACA